TCCTTCCTTGTGAAATTACACAACACTCAAAACCTTGGAAGCAGCCCCATATCCACTGATTGTTTTTGTTGACGGACTCTTGGCAATATATTTTGTCACCAAAATATGGCCATTTGCCCTTTATGCCTAGAATCAAATGATACAGTGGAGAATCTCAGTTGGAGAGTTTCTACCAAAGGCTTTAATGTTGCTTCTGAAGGTCAGCTGGTAATTTTTATGGGACCTCACGCCTGTGCAACTCAGTGTTGTGTATATATCATCTCACCCAATCCTGATCCTCACAATCCCCTTTCAGAGAAAATGATACATGAATATTTCTGGAGAACAGGGTCGTAACTTCAGCCTTTTGAGTATTATACAATAGCAGGTGGCCAAACTAGGATTTGAACTGTACATTATGCTGTCCTATGAGGAAGGGAACAACAACAACAAAAAAAAAACATTTGGGCTGGGAAGGTGGCTCAGTGGTAGAGCGCTTGCCTTGCATGCCTGAGGCCCTGGGTTCCATTCCTCAGCACCATATAAGCAAAAAGAAAAAAAAGCCGGAAGTGGTGCTGTGGCTCAAGTGGTAGAGTGCTAGCCTTGAGCTGAAGAGCTGAGGGACAGCGCCCAGGCCCAGAGTTCAGGCCTCACAACCGGACCCAAAAAAAAAAAAAAAAAACATTTAGCTGGGTGCTGGTGGCATGTCCGTAATCCCAGCTACTCAGGAGGCTGAGATCTGAGGTTTGCAGTTCAAAGGGCAAGAAAGTCCATGAGACTCTATCTCCAATTAAGAACTAAAAAACTGGAAGTGGTGCTATGGCTGGAAGTGTTTGAGTGCTAGCCTTGAACAAAATTGCGCAGAGATAGAGCCCAGGCCCTGGTTTCGAGCCCCATACCCAACACCTCCCCCCCCCAAAAAAAAGACCATTGAGTTTCAAGACAGGATAGAATCAAGAGACTGAGTCAGATGATTGTAGGATGAAATCATAGAACCTGAGAGCTAAGACAGTTCCCTTATTTAAAACTAGCAATGATCTCTGCTTGTTCTGAGAACTAGTAAAAGATTAAAGAGTAATATAGACAGTGAATTTGATGTTACATTGCATACATGTTGTAACTACACAATGAAACCCCTTTTCACAATAAATATCTGCTAATAAAAAGATTCATAGGTGACAAGAATGAAAACCATTTCCTTTTTTAGATGGAATGTTTATTCAAAAAATGAGCTGATCTTTTCTTGCTGTCTTTAGGAAACCATAGAAACAGATGTGTATTCTTTCAGATTTTATTCTCCATAGTAAGTAAATATCCACTATTTGAAATTTCCTAGATGGTAATTTTCACTCTGCAAGGAACCAGTAGCTTAGGGAAGGACTACATATAGTGCAGAAAGCACTGTATTTCAATCAATTCCATGTGTAATGAGTTCCTTCTCTGCAAGACATTGTTTTTCTAATAGAAGAGAAGAAAATTAAGTTGATAGGTGGTCCCTGCTCTCCTGTAGTTTATAATTTACTTGGGCAAATCAGCAAGACACATTATTAAATTGTTGAAAGGAAAAATCCCCATGAGTTCAGGGAAACGAAGTCAAGGAAAGCTGAGATGAGATTTTGCTGGGGTAAGGGCAATGGGTGAAGGGAACAGGAAATATTTGCAAAGACTCAGGTGGGAATGTGGGAAACATCATTGGGAGATAGTGGGTTGGTTAATCTGAGAATGTTGGAGAGTTCATTTAGTTTCTGATGGAAGACCTAAGTAAAAATACAGCTTGATAGTTTGGAGATTTTTACAGATATATTAAAAATAAATTTTCACTGGTGTCTCATACTTGTAATCCTAGCTACTTGGGAAGCTGAGATTGTGGTTCTAGTCCAGCCTGGGCAAAAGAGTCCATGAGACTCTTATTTCCAGTTAACCACCAGAAAACTGGAAGACTGGAAGTGAGGCTGTGGCTCAAGTGGTAGAATGCTCGCCTTGAGCTGAAGCGCTGAGGGACAGCACCCAGGCTCAGAGTTCAGCCCCACGACCCCCCCCCCAAAAAAAAGCCAGCAAACCGCCAGAGTGGAACTTGGTGACTCAAGTGGTAGAGCGCTAGCTAGCTTAGAATGGAAAAGTTAAGTCATAGCACCCAAGTCCTGAGTTCAAGCCCCAGAACTAGCACAAAGAAATGTAAAATGTTAAGAAAACACTACTAAAATATCCAGATACCAATCTCTATTACCTTTCCTCCTCCTGAGGTTAAATATTTTGTTATATAACTTATCTTACGTAAGTGTCCTCACTATTAAACTGTGATTTCCTCCCAGTCTATTGACAAAAGGTCCTTGATACTCTTGGAAAGCCTTTCCACAACTTCCCTTTTGCTAATAAAGGTGTCCTCAAGTGCCCCACCTCTGGGTGATGGCATAAGCAAACGTGCTCATAACTAATGCTCATACACGAAAGAGCCAGCTGCCAAATGCTTTCTAACAAGCAGAAATTTCACACAACTCAGGTCTCTGGGGGCTCACGCTTCAGCTGGAGCCAAGCCAGAAATGTCTGTGACTGCAGGTGCACTCAGGCACATTGGGACCTGCTAGAACAGTAAGCTGGCTTCACTGTTGTTGATTTAGGACAAGGGCTGGAGGGTTGAGCTTTTGCTGACATTTGCAGCTTGGAAAATCCTGCTCCACTAATTGCAAAGAAGATTGTGCTGTAATGATTTTTTTCCTTTTTTTTTTTTTTTAATAAGACACATTTCTCATTTTGAATTCTTTCCTCACATGGGTTCTGGATCCTTCCCAGACTCAATTTTAACCCCTGACTCTTTTGGAAGTTTCCGTCTGGACATGTACGTGCTTTCAAAGAATGGTGCATGCTATAGCCTCTGAGCCTCAAATGTTACTCCCTGAGTGAGCAAGTAAGCTCCTTTTAGCAACTGATGCATGTTCCCTCTGCTTGTCTCCCCCGTTCCCCCTTTCCTGCCCAAAGAAAGCATGAGGATTTCACTTTTTCTGCTGAAGGCACCTTTCTCTTAGAGGACACCTTGACTGACCTCATGATTTTGCTGAGACTTAGTAGTGTGGTTTCTGGCCTTTTTTTGTTTTTTCTTTTTTCTTTTTTTTTTGTGGGTCATAGGGCCTGAACTCTGCGCCTGGGCATTGTTCCTCAGCTCTTCAGCTTAAGGCAAGTGCTCTACCACTTGAGCCACCACGCCACTTCTGGCTTTTTTCTGCTTATGTGGTGCTGAGGAATCAAACCCATGGCCTCATGCATGCAAGGCAAGCATTCTACCACTGAGCCACCTTCCCAGCCCCTGGTCTTATTTCTTGAGCAAAAGCACTAGACAAGTAAGTTAAATTTGTCTCTTCATTCTTACTGTGGATGTTGGACCAAAGTCTTCAGCAGTTTGGTTCTCAATTTCCTCAGCTCCTCTAGCCCTCTAAACTAGAAGTGGTTTTTGGCCTTTGGTATAGGACATCTCTAGAATTAGATGAGAAGTCATGGATTCCAAAATCCAGCATAGATACCAAATTTTGTATATGATTTGTGGGAATGCTAATCTATACTACCTCCGTGAAGAGTGATGACCTCCAGTGTAAGCAAATGAGGTCCACCAAGTACAAACTTCACCATTTGATTATATGAAGCTTTTCACATCCTGTCATTCCCATTGACTCCATGCTGTGTCCACCTTGGAGTTCTGGCAGCTTAAGTAACCATCTGTGCTGTCTAATGTGTGTTGACTGGGCTAAAGGATGCCTAGATAACTGGTGTTTCTGGATGTGTGTGTGTGTCTGTAAAGACAGTAGCTTTGATAGACAGTAAAAACAAGGTTGCCCTCACCAACATGCACAGGTATCAGCCAGTCAGTTGAGGGGCAGGAGTGGAATAAGAAGGCAGAGGGTTGACTTCACTGTGAACTGCATTATCTCTCTTCAGTCCTCAAATGTTGACACTCCTTCCTCTTCTCAGGCCTTCAGGTTTATACTTCCATCATTGGTCTCTTCTGGTTGGATTCAGAGCACACTAATCAAATGTAGCTTGCAGATGGCCTGTTGTGGGATTTAGTCTTTATAATCTTGTGACCAATCCTTTATAATCTATATGTCTAGATATCACATTGGTCTGTTTCTCTGGAGAAAGCTAAAAAGTCTCATGTTACAAATAGCTTTGAGGCCTGCCTATTATGGCTGAAAGACATGGTCCCCTCTAATTACAAGGAAGTTTGCAGGTGATTACAAAGCAGAGTGACAGGGGCTGGGAAGTTAGCTCAGTGGTAGAGCGCTTGCCTTGGATGCCTGAGGCGCTGGGTTCGATTCCTTCCTCAGCACCACGTAAGCAAAAAGAAAAAAGCCGGAAGTGGCGCTGTGGCTCAAGTGGCAGCTACCCTTGAGCTGAAGAGCTGAGGGACAGCGCCCAGGCCCAGAGTTCAGGCCCCATGACCGGACCCCCCCCCAAAAAAAAAAAGCACAGTGACAAAATCTTGGGATTCATGCCTCGGGATCTTTGGCTCATGCTTTCTTTGCCTTCTGTGATTTCCTCCATTTTCATCTCTGTGAAGCTGACTCCAGGTCTAAGCAAATATTCTTTTGATTCTGTTTTGGGAGCCTTTGCTACAGCCTCTTAACCACAGAGTATCACACCTTCCTTTCCCACTAGACCACATCTCTCAGCTAATCTCTGCGGAAGCCCTAACCCCAGGGCTGAGCTCTCGGTTCACATGGAACGGACCAATCAATGCAAGAGTTGAGTGTGCCACCCTGTCCTGCAGGCTTGCAAAGTGCTTCTCCAAACTGATTTTGCTTTCCGCGTCTGGGCAGCTCTCGTAGTATAAAGTTCAGGAGTAGGAGGGACTCTGGGGAAACCAAAGCAATGCAGCACGCTGCGCCGCGTCCAAGCTAAAAGGGGACCTAAGTGCTTCACCTCCCGGAAGCGGCCTCGCCGGCCCGCCCCCGCCCCGTCGGGAGCTGGGCGTGTCCTTCATGAATAATTAACGAGACGGGGGCGGGGCCTGCCCCGCCCCCTCAGGCGGGAAGGGGGAAGCGCCGAGGCTGCCTGACTGGAATGAGGGTAGCGGCGGCGTCTGCGGGAGCCGGGCCGGCCATGGCGGTGTGGACGCGGGCTACCAAAGCGGGGCTCGTGGAGCTGCTCCTCCGGGAGCGCTGGGTTCGAGTGGTGGCCGAGCTGAGCGGCGAGAGCCTAAGTCTGACAGGCGACGCCGCGGCGGCCAGCCGGAGCCGACTCTGGGGCCGGCGGCGGCTTTCAACGGCCCCCGGAGCGGCGGCGGCGCGGGCGCCTCGCGGCCGGGGAGCCGGAGCCGAGGCCTGGGGCCCCCGAGTCCGCCCGCACCGCCGCGGGGTCCCGCGGGCGAGGCGGGTGCTTCGCCGCCCGTGCGCAGGGTGCGGGTGGTGAAGCAGGAGGCGGGCGGCCTGGGCATCAGCATCAAGGGCGGCCGCGAGAACCGGATGCCGATCCTCATCTCCAAGATCTTCCCGGGGCTGGCGGCGGACCAGAGCCGGGCGCTGCGGCTGGGCGACGCCATCCTGTCGGTGAACGGCACGGACCTGCGCCAGGCCACTCACGACCAGGCCGTGCAGGCGCTGAAGCGCGCGGGCAAGGAGGTGCTGCTGGAGGGTGAGCGGGGGTGAGCGGGGCCGGGCGGCCGGGCGGGGGGGCCCGGGCTCGCAGGCGCGCAACTTTGTTTCTACCCTCCTGCCCGGTTTGCAGGGTGAGCCGGTTTTCTCGGCCTCTCCCACAAATTCCTTTTTTTTTTCTTTCTCTTCTTCTTCTTCCTTCTTTCCTCCTCTCTTTTTTTTTCTCCTGGGGCTCTGAGTGTGGAAACACTGATGTTCCTTTGCAAGAAAAGTTGGGCAGCCGCCGAAGTGTGGCTTGCAGCCCCTAAGAGAAACTCCGCTGAGAGTTAAAGAGGGCCAAGAAAAAAACAACAAAACAACACTGCCGGACCTGGAGCTCACCCCTTCTTGCAGGGACAAAGCTGACATCCAGAACTACAGGACGCTGATCGGCTCTGCTTCTCTAGATCTCTCATTTTTCCTTCCTTCCCTTCCTCTCTCCCTCCCTCCTTCCCTCTCACCCTCTCCGTCCTTCCTTCCTTCCTTCCTTCCTTCCTTCCTTCCTTCCTTCCTTCTTTCTTTCTTCTCAGAAGTGCCGATTTGGCCCTTCACTCCCCTCTGGCTCTCTTGGCGAGTGGGTCTGTTTAAAAAAAAAAAAATCATCTACACGTTGCCAGCAATATGCTTGGGCAAACCACCAAAGCGCTAGGTAATTTATGGGAATTTAACCCATCATTGGCTCTCAACAATAACCAAAGGAGATCATAGCATTTCATTGAAGGCAGAGAGCTGAAACAGCAAGTTTGTGTGCCTAATGAGCCTTGTTTAACAGTGGAGGTTCACGTGTTTGAACACTTACTGCCAACTAGAGTTTTGCCCCTTTTGCAAGAGACTGGTGCCAGCTTCTTACCATTCACAGGCGCACTGCTTCAAGGCTAGTAGACTTTTGTCAGAAACTTGAAATGATGTCCATTAACAAGATAAGTTTGAATAGCCAGAATTTTTCTTTACCTGAAGTTTCTATGTGATCTGTGTCCTAGATCTCTTCTGATGAATTTATGGAGCTAAGACGAAATGAAATTTTATCTCCAAGGACTCATATGGGTCGGAGGTGATAGAGTATTGTAAATGAAAAAGTCATTTGCTTACTTTATATATATATATATTTTTTTGGGGGGGTCCGGTCGTGGGGCCTGAACTCTGGGCCTGGGCGCTGTCCCTCAGCTCAAGGCTAGCGCTCTACCACTTGAGCCACCGGCCCACTTCCGGCTTTTTTCTTTTTGCTTATGTGGTGCTGGGAATCGAACCCAGGGCCTCAGGCATGCAAGGCAAGCGCTCTTACCACTGAGCCACCTTCCCAGCCCATACTTAATATATTTTTGAGTGATCAGTTTCCTTTCACTGGTGATTCAGTCACTCCAGGAGCATTTATTTATTGCTGGTTCTGAATTAGTGAATATAAAAGATGCTTTCTCTACTTAGTCTCTAATTAAAGAAAAGCTAGAAATGCAGAACAGTTTATAGGGAGGAAAAACATCAAGTACTTGCTTGTGTAGAGCCAATTATATATAAATGTTAGGAGGATGCAAACTTAGGAAGTATTTAATGGAGATGGGATTAGTCAGGGAGAGCTTTTTCAAGAAACTGAATCTTAAGCTAGGTCTCTGGGGGAAGTGATGGATATAGATTGGCAGAGATGAGTCAGGAAGGATTCCTGGCAGAAGAGAGTAGGACTGAGGATGGGGGTAGGGGACCAGAAGTCTAACTCTGTGTGTGTGTATGTATGTACATGTATGTGTGAACGTGTGTACTTGCTGCACATATGAACTTAGCCCTGTGTGTGACCAGTCTTAAACTCTTGATCTTTCTACCTTAGCCTCCACAGCCCACCCAGTTTTCACTTTCTTCTAAATCTTCCTTTGAATCTTTAGGGAAGTATTAGTAAGGCAATGATTTAATGTGTTCTAATGATAAAACTCCAGTGTCCCACCTTTGCAGTATTTTACTTATTGATCTTAAATTCTACTTCTAGGTGGGATTTAAGGAATTAGTAATAATAAGAGGAGGGTAGGGGCTAGGAATATGGCTTAGTGGTAAGAGTGCTTGTCTAGCATTCATGAAGCCCTGGCTTCAATTCCTCAATACCACATAAGCAGAAAAAACCAGAAGTGGTGCTGTGGCTCAAGTGGTAGAGCACTAGCCTGGAGCAAAAGAATCTCAGGGTCAGTGCCTGAGTTCAAACCCCAGGACTGGCAAAAAAAAAAAAAGGAGAGTAAATATAGATTGTGGCTTAGATGTATGTAAAAAATGTTACTTTGAATATGTACATTGAAATTGATCTAGGTAAGCATTTGCTTATAAATTCTTAGAGCAGGAATACTGAATTTGGTATAACTTACATAGTATACAGCAGTGATGGTTAGACAATCCAAGCCTTTATACGCTATTAAAAATACAAAATGAAAAGTAGCTTCTGTTTAGACACAGAACCTGGTATTTATAGCAGTAAAATGAAAATCACCTAGTAAATGCTTCTTAGTATTCATTAGTCTGTAATAGACCACATGTGTTTTTAGAAAGGCTTACGGGTGGCAGCAGCATAATAACATATTTATTAAATGCCTTTTTACCTAACACATAGGTTCTATTTTATTTTTCCACTTTGTATAAGTTAAACAGTTTTTGAACTTAAAGGTGTGGGGAAGACAGTATTGTAGATTTATGTTGTGGTTTTTTTTTTTTTTTTTTGCCCTAGTCCTGAGGTTTGAACCCAGGGCCTGAATGCTGATCCCCGGTTCCTTTTGCTTGGACTAGTGCTCTATCATTTGAACCACAGCTCTACTTCTAGCTGTTTTTGGTAGTTTTTTGGTGATAAGAGTCTCACAGACTTTCCTGTCCAGATCTCAGCCTCCTGAGTAGCTGTAGTCTTGAGCCACTGGCACCCAGCTTGATGTTGCATTTTTAAGCCAAACACACACAAATAAAATTGCTCAATAACAAAATCACTGAAAACAGTAACCAGTCAAGCATTCATAATTGCAAGCTGGTTTTCTCATCTAGGAAGGCCACTTTTAAAGGGTTTATCTGTGTCCCCATCATCCCATCTATTCATTCAGAAGACTAAAGCAGGAAGATCACTTCAAGTTCAAGGCCAATATAGACTCTGTCTCCAAAAAAGAACAAACAAAAAACCCCAACCTTTTTCTTATTCCTTGAAATTGGCAGGCTATATTGTTCATCCATCAGATGTTTGAAAACTTGAAAAACTTGCCTTAACAGCATAGTGATGCTCTTTTTGTGGTGTGGGCAGGGAATTTCAGGCATGTTCTTGCTACCCACATGCCAAGGAAAGCTGTAGTCTCTGTTTGCCTGAGGTTAAGGAACTGAGAAACGTGTGTGTTTTTTTTTAATTTCAGGGATTTGTAGAAAATGCCCATTCATTCACTCATCAGACATTTATTCGGTTCTTCCCACCGCCCCCCTCTCTTTTTACCTTACCCTGTTAGTGATTTTCCTTTGTCCAAGGAAAGCATCCTATCCAAAGAATGGTATAATCAGCTAGGTACAGAGCACTTATCTACATACAAATTCTGATTAAAAAAAATAGAATACTTCTTGGTGGTGGTGGTGGTAGTATTAGTTTTTGTTTTGTTTTGTTTTTGTTTTTAGAGGGGGCAACCTAGAGATGCAGAAAGGAAAGGAGGAAGGGTGAACAAATGCAATTGGGCTATCACTATACATTCTGCAGAAAAGAAACTATAGTATATAACTTGTGGGCAGGGATAGGAGGGGGAAAATTTGGGAAAGTGAAAGGATGACATTATCTAAAGAGAAATGTACTCATCAGGGTGCAGGTGACTCAAGCCTGTAATCCTAGCTACTCAGAAGGCTGAGATCTGACCATTGCAGTTTGAAGCCAACCCGGCAGAAAAGTCCCTGTGAGACTCTTATCTCCAAATAACTACTCAAAAAGCAGAAGTAGCACTGTAGTTCAAAGTGGTAGAGTGCTAGTCTTGAACAAAGCTCAGGGACAGCACCTAGGCCCTGTTCAAGCTCCACAAAAAAGAAAAGAAAAGAAATGTACTCATTGCCTGACTTATGAAAGGTAACTCCTCTCTATATATTTTTTTATATTTTTTTAAAAAGTAGAATACTGGGGCTGATAAGGTGGTTTAATGGTATAGTGCAGGTAGAATATTGTTAAGTATCACTGGCTCATGCTTATAATATTAGCCTCTTAGGAAACTGAGATTTGAGAATCAAAGTTAAAAGCCAACCATGTCAAACAAATCTTGAGACTTACTTACAGATGACCAGTAAAACTGAAAGTGAAGATGTGGCTCAAGTGGGAGAGTGCCAGATGTGAGCCAATAAAAGCCAAGCCACAGGGGCTGGGAAGGTGGCTCAGTGGTAGAGTGCTTGCCTTGCATGCATGAGGCCCTGGGTTCGATTCCCCAGCACCACATAAGCAAAAAGAAAAA